CTGCTAGATAAGCAGTATTATTAAAGTATTTGACAATTTGTAGATAAGTAGACTTTTGGTTTTTTATAATATTAAAATAAGTAATAATATGAGCAAGAAATTTAGTATTAATAATGTTTTTTGTTAATAGATTAATAGTCTTCTTCTTAGAGAGAGACTGTATGTTGTAATTCTCTGTAGCAGTTTGGTAATAAAGAAAGAGATAGCAATAGAAATAATAGTTACGAAGTTTTAGATTTGTTTTAACTTTGTTTTGTTCACAAACAAAGTTTTTAGCTTTGTCAGCTAACTTGTCCAAAGCTTTGATCAGAATTAGTTAGTTAAGAGAAGCAGCATGTTCCTTATTTTTCATAAAAGAGTATGGTATTAAGAGTTAAGTGAATTCATGATTTATCATCTTTAAAAGAAAATAATTGATAAGATTTGTTTAGAATATTATTAAAAAGTTTGATGCTATCATGGAACTTTTTTTTATCAAGATATTGATATAGTTTATTGCTATAAGTAAGACAGTAAAAGTTAGCAACTCAGGATGCTTTATATTATTCATAAAATGAATTTAGTTTTTGGAATATATAAGTTTCAAAAAGATATTTTAAAAATTAAAAGATAAAGTATTGTTAAAATTGAATTCAGAGAGAGGTTTGACTTTTTTTTTGTCAATATTAGATAAAAATTGTCAACTATATAGAGGATAGTAGGTTTCAAACCAAGAGTTGAAATGGTCAAGAGAATTTTTAAGTAAGGAGATATAAAATCTTTTAAGAAAAAGTGTTTTGAGAATGTTAAAGAATAGTTTAATATTAAATCTGGTATCAGCTTAGATAGTAAGATATTTTTGTGAAAGGTCAATAGTTTGAGTAAAGAATTCAATTTTGAATTTTTTGGGTCTGAGTTATAAGTCTTTAGCAAATTTTTGATAATCAATTGATTGATAATTATTAAATAAAAAAAAATGAAGGTGTATAATATTAAGGCAAAGTTAAAAATAATTATAAATAATATATAGAAAAATAGTAACTGAAGATGCAAAAATTTTTAGATAGTTTAGTAAAGAGAATAGTAGTAAATTTAAAAATAAGGTTTTTTAGAATAGATTCAAAAAGATCAAAAAAAATTGTAGCAATTTTTTCAATATTGGGATTGCTTTTGTAAATAAAATCAGTTAGAAATTCAGGTTGTTGTCCTACTATTATACAGATAATATAATAGAATGAAGCCTTAAGTGCAAGTTAAGTAGGAGTTGCAGGTTTAATTTCTTTATCAGAATAAAAATCATAAAGAAATTTTTTGAAAAAAGTGAAAAGTTAAAGAGAAAAAGTAGTTTGTAGTTTTTTGTTGAGTTGCATTTCTTTAGTAATAGGAAAATTTGCAAGCTAATTATATATAGAATTGGATTTTGGTTTAAGGACACTTGATTATGATTGAGTAAGAAGTTTGTTGAAAGTAGTATTAGATTGGTTAGAGTTACTGGAGTTGTTAAGATTTAAGTTAGTATTGTTAAGAATGGTAATAATAGAAGGTTGGTTAGTAGCAAGATTAGTATTAATAGTTGTAAAAAAGAAAGAGTCAATAAGGTCAAAGATAGTAGAAGAGTTTTGGTGAGAAAAGACAGAGTTAAGATTAGTAGTTTGAGATGATTCATGAAGAATATTTTGGAAGATTTGTGTAAGATTCTTTTTTGTTTGAAATAAGCTAACTTTATATTAAGATAAGACAGTTATACAAGTAGGATGATAGACTTCATTATTTTTAATGACATATTTTTTGTTAAGATAGTGATACTTATTTCTCTTAGTATAACCAATTGAAAGAGAGCATTTGGAACAGGTATGATAGTGTATGTCAGATGTAGAAGATGAAGGAATACTGTCAATTAAAGAAGAGCAATCAGTTATAAGTTGTTGAGTTGACTTGTTAAGCTTCTTTTTAGAATTAGTATTAATATTGACTATGGTGAATTCAGTAGTTTGGGTATAATTGATATTAGTATTTGTAATAAATTTGGTATGATATTTGTCACAGAGACAAGTAATCACAGAAGTAGAGATAGAAGCTTGAAAGAAATAAGTAATTTTATTGAATCTAAGATTTTTAGTTAAGCAAGAAGTTGGTTTAACTTTGAAAGAAATTAAACAAACATTATTGCTACTTTCTTCTTTATAGAGAGCAATTCCAAAACTATTAGAAAAGTTTTAGTAAAAGCAGTCAAGATCTGCTATATCAGGCTCTTGGTTGGTTAGTGTAGGCATTTTTGGTTATAATAAGTTAAATAAATATTATATATAGAAAAAAAACTAAAAAATTCTAAGTTAAAAATTTGGTCAAGTAATTATTTTACAGAGTAGTAGATAGAAACAAGGGTTGTATAGTTAGAGTATCACAAAAGTAATACTGGAATATAACTATGATAGTTGGAATCACAGATGTAACTTAGGTATTGGTACAAATAAAATTTGCAACACAAATTTTTGTGTACAATTAATAAGAACTAAAAATAGAAATGACTAGATTGTGTTAATGAGTTTCTATTAATAGACTGATTACAAGATTTTGGTATAAATTAATAAAGTATTAATTGAGAAATGATAGTATGATTACATGAAAATTATGTAAAAAAAAGAAAATGGAGTATAGTAATAATTGGTGCTATAAGTAGCTAATTACTATAATTATATTTACTACATATATTTTTACACAATATTTTTTAAACTTTAATTATAGTAATAATGTAGTAATGTAGTATTTTTTATTACATATAGTAATATGTAGTAATATAATATTATTTACTATATGTAATATTATTTACTATATGTAGTAATAATATATTATTTCATGAGTACTATAGCTTTTTGATAAGATTATTTGACTGGTCTATAACAACACAAAAAAATAGAATTTTTGAATAAGACTCTGGATACTGTAGCATAGCAAACTTTTATTGTAATTGGCTGATTTTTATAGATCATCTTATCATACTAAAGTATTGTTAAAGTAACAATTTTCCATCACGAGAGTTACAAGAATTGATTCGCAGCTATGAATATGAATTTGCAGAAGTTGTGATATAAATATTTAGAAACTATATCTTCTTTTCTACAAGACAGTAAAGTAATTTGATAATTGGCAAGATAATTCGAAAGTTAGATAAGAACCATTTTTTAAATATTCTAAAACTTTCTATTTAGTTTGTAATCTATTTAAACTATACGATTTAACTTTTTTTGGTTTATATATATATATATATATATATAGTTTTCTTAAGACATTGTTTGCAGTTTATAATAACAGGTTAGATGATATGTTTATGCTTTTCTATTGTTATTTTTAAAATGATATTTTATTTTACTTTTTTTTTGATTTTATACTAATATATTTCTTTACTTCTTTATGTCTCTTTGCAAGATTTAAGTTAGTGTTGTTAGCAAAAGAGTATATATAGATTTATTAGATTCTATATTTTTAATTTAAAATCCTCAAATTTTAGCACTATTTGTAATATTTAATGAAAACATATAGAAAGGCAAAAAGGAACTGTATTTATTAATAGAATAGATAAATTTATTGATCTCACAATAATAAATTTAATCTTTTTTCTTTATAAGAGATTATAAAGTAATAAGAGCATTTATTATATGCATAATTATGTGTCTTAATATTTGAGTAAAACTTTAAAGACCAATATTAATATTATATACCCATCATTATTCCACAATCATTACAATGATTATCTTGATTATTTCATAATTTGATTGGATAATTAGCAAATAAAATCACAAGATAATCAACAAAATCTAACTAATCACAATGAATATTCATTATGCTGGGTCTGTAAGCAATGGCATACAGTAATTAGTTTTGCTCTATATATATAAGTACTATATAAGCTGTTGGGTATAGGCAGAAATGAAGTTTCTGTACTATACAACATATGTCAAATTTCATTTTAAGCCTATTAGCAATTTATATATTCACAATTGATCTCTATAGTAAAAACTCTTCATAACCTTTCAGTTATAGTTTAATATAGTCTGAGATATAGATAATGCTTACAAGATTAAGGTTTGAATTTAATAAAAAGAAATTGTTATGCCACATTATAATTTATATAGAGATAAGGTCATAAAAAATTAAATAATTGTTTCTTATAACATAGAATTCTAAAAGTGACCTACCTGCCTGATTAGTGATAGGAAAAATGTATATTTTATAATAACATGCACAAGAATATGCATTAATGCATATGTTATATAAAATGTGCATAATATCACATAATATTATTTTTAAAATTTTATATTTTTCTTTCAAAAAATATTAGATACATGCTCAAATTTTAACTCTGATCTTGCTCTTCTTTTATATTCATTAATTTTCTTTTCGAGACTTTTACATTCATATTCCTTAATTCTGTCTGACAATACTCTATCTTGCCTAAATTATATATGTTTTAAATTTTCTATATAAAATTTAGATGGGATAAAATGTGCATAAATGCACATAATTAAGGATTTATGCATATACATAAAACCCAGCTCTACATCTGATTTTTTTTCTTGTTTAGAAAATATTAAAACATATAAAAAGTTTTTTTAAAAACCTACCCAGAAGTATTTATAATAAATAACTTATAAAATTTTGTATCAAAAACTTACAAAAACAAACCTGACCAGGTTATGAGAAACAATTAATTAACTTTATATTGCTTGATAAAAAATCAAATACAATAATCATTAAATTAATATAGAGCATCACTATATTCTAAAAATATAAAAAAAATAATTGATTATATGAAAATAAAGAAAATTTGATCGATCATCATCTCTAATTGTAAATACTATAAGCTTTCACTTGGAATCACTTACTATTATCTTACTGAAGATAAACCAGACTAATCAATCTTATTTATTGATAAACCATATTCAAAAAAAGAATTTAGACACAATACATTTATGTAATAGCCTATTTTAGACAGTATGCTATCTAATCCAAAATTTTTTTTGTTATACAAAAACTTTATTAACCAAATTATCTATATTGTAATTATAATTTGGTTCTTCTTCAGCTACATGCTCAGAATCTAATCTAATATTATTATTTTGAATGTTTTCTTTAAAAATTTCATGATTCAAATCAAAAATTTCTTCCAAATCCAATATTTCATCTAATAATTTGAATTCAGATTCATTATCATTATTATCCTTACCAGAACCTTCATCTAAATTATTATCATCTAACTCTCTGATTTCATTTGCTATAGCCAACATATCTTCTAAAGTAAGTTCATGATTAATATAAGAAATTTCTTCTTTCACATATGTTGTATAGTATTGATGAATCTTTGCTAATGCTTCTACTTTTTCAAATGCCAATCTGATTCTTTTTTTTCTATAGATCTATTTTAGAGTTGAAAAAACTCTTTTACAAGAAGCAAAGTGTGTAGTAATATTAAGGAGTTTAACTGCCAAAGTAGAAAGAAGATCATAAACATCTTTAATTGTTTTTTATCATGTCTGTGGCATTTGGCAATTAGGTTCAAATGATTTATTAAAAGGTGGCTCATTCAGTTTATAAGAAGCAAGTTGCCCTAAAATTTGTTGGCAAGAGCTTTCACTATTACCAAAAGTCTTCCACAAAGTATCTGCAAATCTTGAAATTTTTTTGTATTGCCCTTTTTTAAAACTGTAACCTTATATACATGATAGAATATTAGCACTTTTCAGAACAATAGAGAGTAAAAAAAAATTTAATAAATATAAAGTATATATAATTTATCTTTAAATTTCAGATGCAAGAAATATGCCAAATAATATATATCATTATTAAACTCCAACAGTTGCCTATTGATAGAAGTAACACAATGCCTTCGAAATGTAACATATTGATCTTAAGACATTTGATAGATCATAAACGCTAATTTGATTAAATGAATGAAACAATCTGCTAGTGTTGAATCCTAACTTTCAAGTTGAACAATGGATTCTTTAATAGGCTGTAGAATAGTAGTCATAAAGTTTATGTCATTATAAAATGATTTTTTGTTTAAAATTGAATATATTTTATTATTTGTAATAATATCCAGATCATGTTCTAAAATCTTTTTGTAAATATACAGCAAAGTCATTAGATAAAAAAATTTTTTTTTACTATATCAAGAATTCGCTATAATAAAATAAATTGTCAATATAAATATATAGAACTTATTTGAATAAATGCACCCTTCAAATGTAATATTAAATAAATTGTATCATAATAACTTGACCAATGAGTTGCTACATATTATTTGATACCCCCATCTACAATATTATTAATTTGAATTTCATTCTTAAGTGCTGAATTAGTTATATGAAATGATCTAAAAAATTGAGCAACTAATGTTGCTTGAGATAAAACACATTTTAAAAAAGATTCTTTCATAAGATCTTTACAAATAAGATTTAGCTAATGGGCTATATATGACACATTTACAATATGAAAAATTTTTTGTGTAATTAGTCAGCATGTCACTACAACATTCACACCATTATCACTAACTACTGCACAAATTTTCTCAACTCCAATTTGAGTAACTACTGTTTCAATTTCTTGTAAAAGAAATTCTGCTGTATGATGTATATTTGAATAGTTATGCAAGGCATATAAATGCTCTTTGTGATCAGGTATTAAGAGCAAAAAGTTCCAAATTGATCTGCCTCATGGATCTGTCTACCTGTCAAGTGCTATAAAAAAAATAAAATAAAAATATTATTATTTATTTAAATTGTTAAAAGAAAACATTAATAATATTAAATACCAAGTGTAATATGATTTTTATTTCATATTTTACTTTCTATTTTTGCTTTCACCTGAATAATTTGCTTGTTAAAAATTCTTTCTGCAAGTGTTTTAGAACTAGGTATTTTAAAACCTGGTCTAAGATCTTGAAGCCACACATGAAAAATTTCATTCTTGGCTACATTAAATGAGATACCCATGCAAACAAATGCAAGACACATGCCATTTTCTAATTGTTCTTGCCTTTTGGAAGATAGTTCTTGGTTTTCAACATATTTAAGGATATCTCTCTTACTTTTTAACTCTACTTTTTATTTCTTATTTGATTTTTGGTTTTCATCATCTTTAGATAATTGTTTGAAATAAAAAAGTTGTGCCTCTAATAAGGCATTAGAACAGTTATGTGCAATATGCAGTTTAAAGAGTGAAATATCACCATATGGCCAATTTTGCAGACAGTATTTACAACTAGCAGAGTAGTATCCACCCCTTTTTTTTTTTTTACTTGAGTAAAGTGTTTCCAAACAGGGTTAAAAGGTCGACTAGTTATTTTTTGTAGACTGTTATTATTATCTTCTTTAGGGCTAAAAGTTGAAGCAGACTCTTCATCACTAATATCATTAGGCGAAGAAATTTTTGAAACAAAAAAAATTTCTGTAAATCTAAATGTAAAATACGTTAATTATTATCTTTATATTAGTAATCAAAAAAATAGACTGGGTCACTGATCAGTGAACTCAGATGAGTATTATATATATCAAATTATATCATAATTATATTATAATTAACTTGATGATTGCTGAATACATTTATGCTAATTTTGTGAATTATTTGATAAAATTTATCATACAGTGCTGAATTTTTATAGTATGTATTCTTCTTGTTACCCATATTCTAGTAAATTAATATATGATTATATAATGCCATTGTGTTATTCGGATTAATTTCCAATAATTGATTTATAAATCTTTAAATGATTCTTTATATAGACCTATTCTTCACTAAGCTAATTTAATTCATAACGATTTATTCAATTAGAACTATTACTATTAGCAGATTTCTGATGATAAATAAATATCTTATTATTTATACATTTTTATTCTAGATTTTTCTACAATAATTTCCATTGTTCTTATCTATACCATTCCTATATCTTGCTGAATTCTTATGCCTACTTAGTCTTTGATTCCATAGTAGTATCCTAAATACAAATGCCTTTGGATGTCTTATGTTTCTCTTATTCAACTCCAATTTTCATTTCAACAGTAATATCCAACTTTATATGTTCCAAGAACATTACTTATCTGTAGATTTTTGATAAATCATCAACAATATCCAACAGTAAATGCCATAAGTATTTAATGTATCAGATTTTAATAATATTCGAATGCCTTTTACTTGCTTTTGTTTTTAATCAATTCCTTTATGTGAATATTATATGTTTCAACAACATTTCTAATCTCAACATATATTCATTTTAATTTTATATTAATATTAAATATTCTACATATCTCATTCTTTTATTTTTTATTCAATTCAGATTCTGTATAATCATAACTAACATTAATGAATTGTTTAATTTAGTAATCATAGAACATTTTGTATTCATCCTTTTCTATCCTGATTCTTTCTTGACACAATACCCAAGTTGTTATATATATTTTATATAAATAATTATCATATAGTTTGTCTTTGACAATGATACTATTAGGTAAGACTTTACTTTCATTATTTTTCTTTTACTACTCAATCCTAACTATGTCTTCAATCACACTACATCTTCAATCATACTCTATACCTTTAATCAAACCTGCGGTTACCACAATAACAAGATTTATATTTACAGTATTTCATAAGAAAGGAATCTATTTTAACTTGTCTATTTATATGTACAGTATATATTTATATGTAATTTTTTTTACTATATTTTACTACACAAACATAATTCCAAATATAGTAAATATTAAACTGCATGCATAAACTCAACTGATTTAACTAATATACCTATAATCAGAAAACTTTAAAGTCAGGTATATTAAAGTTAGTTTTTTTGATTTGCAAGTAGTTTTATTTATATATAAAAATCAAGAATAGAATTTCTGTAATATGAATATTAATATGTAAACACACCTGGTTTTAACAGACTTTGCATGTATATAAATTCACTGATCTAACCGATACATACAACTTTCAAGTTTGATTAACTAAATTTATAATTACTAATATATATGTGTAGTAATAATTATTATATATATACTTATAATAAAATATTTTACATATAGTAATATTTACTACATGTAATAATGATTACTACATGTAGTAAATATTATTACAATTACTATTTTTGTAGTAAATATTTACTACATTACTATATAGCCTAATTTGACTTATGGCACCAATTAATAGAATATAGTTAGGAAGTAAGAAAAGAAGTTTACAAGAGAATAAAAAGTGAATTTAGTTTTAGTTCAACCAATATTAGGCCAAAATTCTTTTTTTAAAGCTTGTTATAACTGGGCAAATATGCACTACAATTTTAATTAAGGGTGTGAAACAAGTTATTGCAGTAAAAACTGCGAGAAAGTTAGTTTTTTAAAATTAAAGGCCAAAGACTATTAGTATGGTTTTCTCTGTAAGTTTAAGAACTAGATCTGTAATATTTTTAGAATTATATAAATCACTGAGCTAAACAAGTTTATTTAAGACATCAGGACAGATTGTCTTAGTAAAATAAAAAGTTATGAGTATTTTTAGATAAATAGTTTTTTAGTTAATTTTTGTACAATAGATTTGCAAAAAGAGTTTTCTACTTTCCAAATTTGAGCAATTATTTGTATAATAATTGTATTACAATAATGTTATTTTATCAATCAGTTGAAATAAGATATCTATAACTATAGTTGCATTAGCATAACTGATAAATTATAAGGCATTTGTATAATCTTAATTATACAAAATAATGTAAACCAAAATAAGTTTTTATGATTATATAAATTTATAGAACTAGAAAAAACCAAAATTAACTTGAAAAGAATCCAAATAAAGAAATAATGCAAAATTTTAACATTATTATTATAAAAATTAAAACTAAAAAACAGATACTAATGTGAAAGAATTAGACAAATAAAAACTTTTAAATAAGAAATATTGCTAACCAAACTACTAAATTTAAACTAAAGAAAAAAAATATCAGATCAGACTTAATATATCAAAAACAAATTATAGTTCTTTTGATCTATTTGAATTGGAAGTCTGAGAACAAAGTAAGAATATACTAAAATACTAGTAATATATTGTGAAGTAAATGCTAAGACATGAATAAACTACAAAAACCAATATTTGTTAATAGTTTATAAAATAAGTAGATAGTTAACAAAAAAGACTTTTTCATTTTAATCAGTCACACTCTTTCCACTGATCTACATTTTTATAAAAAAGCAAAATCCAAATTATAAAGAAAGTAGTAAACTAGACTAAGAACAACACTTTGAACAACTAAGAAATAATTTCAAGAAGAAAAAAAAAAATAAACTTAGTTAGAACAACAACTGGAAAAAATAGAAGCACAACAGAAAATTTTTGGACTCTTGTAAAATTAAGACAAAAATTTTGAAAAATTTGGGAATTTGACTTAGACTCTGAATAATAGTAAATAAACACGTAACACATATCAACAATTTTCGATAAACAAAATATACAGAGCAAACATGTCCTATTTAGAAAATATAAACATATTAGCAAAATCAACAACAAACAAACTATAAGAGATTCTAAAAATAGTAAACATCAATAGAATAGTCTAGAAACAGATATACAAATCACAATGGAAATGCCTCATGATCAATTTTTAATTCAATATATGCAAGGAACAGGTGATATAGTTCATAGATATTTAAATAGTTGTAAGTTGGATCAAGTACTAAGAACAACTATATACAAGAACCCAAGTGACATCGAAATTA